AATCGTTATCCCGGATAAGACACTATGTTTCTTTTCCCTTCTCTGTATGTATCGTATATGGAGGAATAAGCCAAGCAGCCAGTGGAGAAAGTCCTATTGAGAAGGCTGTGTTGAGGAGAGAGGAGAGGAGAAAGGCGAGAGAGGTTCACGCCAGTGAACACTGACTCATCACACAGATTAGATTGAACTACAATACCATCTCAACTCTTATGAACTGAACTGTTATTCCCATTCTTATTTTTTACTTATATATTTTAATTTTTTTTTCCTAACAATATTTTTTTTTCACTCTAATAATTTTTTTAATTATATTTTTTTCACTCCAAGAATTTATTTAAAAATATTAATTGATTCTTTTACATTTATTATTATAATTTATTTATATTTTTATATTAATTATGGATTTAAGTATAATTGATTCAGATAATTATTGAATTATTGGTGATACACTTAGCAATTTATAATATCACTTAAAATTTATAATATCACTCATAGTTGAATATATTGGAGCGCGGTACAATATTGATATATATAGATAACATCCACACACCTGGAGAGGGAGTAATAAGTACCTGGCGATCTAATATTTTATATAATTTATTTATTTAATGAATTAATTAGTAATACTTTAGTAGCTCACATATATATTATTCACATTACTTTTTATGCACGCAATTAATTGCTTTAAGAGTAAGAAAACTTCTAGTGGCTCACAAGTACAGTTGCAAGAAAAAGTATGTGAACCCCTTGGGATTACGTGGAGTTTTGCATGAATTGGGCATAAAATGTGCTCTGAACGTCATCTAAGTCACAACAATAGAAGAACACAGTCTGCTGAAAATAATACTACACAAACATTAGATGTTGCCATGGTTTAATTGCACATAACATGTAAACATTCACAGTGCAGGGAGGAAAAAGTATGTGAACCTTTGGACTTAATAACTGGTTGACTCTCCTTTGGCAGCAATAACCTCAACCAAACGTTTCCTGTAGTTGCAGATCAGACCTGCACAACGATCTGGAGTCATTTTGGACCACTCCTCTTCACAAAACTGTTTCAGTGTAGCAATATTCTTGGGATGTCTGGTGTGAATCGCTCTCTTAAGGTCATGCCACAGCATTTCAATCGGGTTGAGGTCAGGACTCTGACTGGGCCACTCCAGAAGGCGTATTCTGTGCTGTTGCAGCCATTGTTTTGTTGAATTACTTGTATGCTTTGGGACATTGTCCTGTTGCATCACCCATCCTCTGTGGAGCTTCAGTTGGCGGACAGATGGTCGTACGTTTTCCTGCAAAATGTCTTGATAGACTCTGGAATTCATTTTCCCATCAATGACAACAATCCGTCCAGGCCCTGAGGCAGCAAAGCAGCCCCAAACCATGATGCTCCCTCCGCTACGTTTTACAGTGGGGGTGAGGTTTTGATGTTGGTGTGCTGTGCCTTTTTTTCTCCACACATAGTGTTGTGTGTTCTTCCAAACAACTCAATCTTGGTTTCATCTGTCCACAGTATATTTTGCCAGTAGTGCTGTGGAACATCCAGGTGCTCTTTTGCAAACTTCAAACGTGCTGCAATATTCTTTTTGGACAGCAATAGCTTCCTCCGTGGTGTCCTCCCATGTAATCCATTCTTGTTTAATGTTTTCCTTATTGTAGATGTGTCAACAAAAATGTTAGCATGTGCCAGAGATTTCTGTAGGTCTTTAGCTGACACTCTGGGATTCTTCTTTACCTCATGCAGCATTCTGCGCTGTGCTCTTGCAGTAATTTTTACAGAACGACCACGCCTAGGGAGAGTAGCAACAGTGCTAAACTTTCTCCATTTGTAGACAGTCTGTCTTACCGTGGACACAGGAACATCAAGGCTTTTAGAGATACTTTTGTAACCCTTTTCAGCTTCATGCAAGTCAACAATTGATCGTAGGTCTTCTGAGAGCTCTTTTCTGTGAGGCATGGTTCACATCACACAGTGCTTCTTGAAACCAGTAAACCCAAAACAGGTGTGTGTTTTTCAAGGGCAGGACAGCTGTCAGCAACACATCCAATATCATCACACTGACTGGAGTCAAGGTTGGCTCATTCTTCGCTCCAATTAGCTCTGGGAGAAGTCATTAAGCTAGGGCCTCACATACTTTTTCCTCCCTGCACTGTGAATGCTTACATGTTATGTGCAATTAAACCATGGCAACATCTAATGTTTGTGTAGTATTATGTTCAGCAGACTGTGTTCTTCTATTGTTGTGACTTAGATGACGTTCAGAGCACATTTTATGCCCAATTCATGCAAAACTCCACGTAATCCCAAGGGGTTCACATACTTTTTCTTGCAACTGTATTTATTTAATTTGAATAATCAGGTTATTGTTACGTTTACCAACTCCTGCTGCTACATTTGTCCTGGAAATCTAGTCTTCATTGACCTTCGGCTATGAAAGGTTTAAGATACCGTTTCCTGTTAAAAAAAAAATCCTCACATATAAGAAATATATTCTTGTGAATCGAACAAAAACAACAACAGAAGGTCTGCGGCCACAGAACTAACACTTCTCATCATAAGTAATAAAACAAATGCTCATGTTTCATGCAACGCTAGTACTGGAAGTGCGTGTCAAGTCGGCGTCAGATCCTTCCGCCGGAGCGAGTTTAACCAAAAGAAGATGAAAAACAAAATAATGTAAAAATAAAGAAACATGAAAAGGATTTCAATCAATGCCATTCGACCAAAGACGCTGCTTACAGTTGCTCGGGGGGGGGGGGGGGGGGGGGGGGGGGGGTGAGTATGAGTGATGACATCAATATTTCATAGCACGGATCAATATGCAAAGCGTCTTGCTGCCTCTTTAATAATCCGGGCAATAAACAGAAGGAATGAAGGGACGGGAAGCCAACAAGTTGGTGTGTAACTCCACCAAAGTTTAAAGGTGTAACTTTTGCATCCGAGTTTTAAGATAATATGGATTTTTTTGTACCTTTTTTTTTTTATTACTTTGTAACTTTATTCTTGGAAGGAAAGGGCAGGTCATGTTCCATCCTTTGTGATCCTAATGTAGATTTTGAAACTTTCTCTTTTATTCTCTTCTTTGAAAACATGTCAATCGATGAAACCGTATGAATGATTAGAAGCCCACAGAACGGATGGCTCCTAAAGCAAGAGCGATGCTGCACAGATCTATTGATTGCACTTTAATTTATTATGGTATAGAGAGGAGCAGATTGGATTCAGGTTCTGGTATGGCCTGGAACAACCCAACGAGGATCGTTGTGGAGCTGGTGAAGGACAGATTGTAGAGAGAATACAGGTACAGGTTTGGATTGACTTCTACAACAAAGCCAAACTGTCCTTTACATTGGCTCTATAGGATGCATAAAGTTTCATGAGGTCCTGATAACCTCAACGACCTGTACAGCCCTAAACCAATAAAATGTATAGATGATAAATTAAATAAAATTAAATAAACAGTCCATAAAAGTTCATATATTGAAAGTGGTGATAAAGTGTCAGGAATGGACTTGCCAATAATGGTGGGACTCACCTGCCTTGTGGGCTGCAGTACCAGGGCTGGCCAGCGGGTGCTCTCCTCAATCAGAGACTCACCCCTGCAATCAGCCAAACACACTGAAGCTGATTGCAGGGGTTGTATTTAAGGAATGGCCAGACTCACAGTCAGGGCCTTGGTGTGTGTTTTTCCATGGGCCCCTGTACCTTGTATCCTGTATTCCTGTTCCTGTCTGACTTGTTGCCGACCCTGCTTGGTCCTGACCTCTGCTGACTTCTCCTGTTTGATCCCTGGCTTGTGACCCTGACCATTCTCTGCCTGACCCTCTGTACTGCGCTGCCCGTGAGTTACTGAACCAAGCTTGTGACCCCGACCACTCTCCCACCTGTTCCTGGTACTCCGTTTGCCCGTTTGCTACTGACCCGGCCTGCCTGACTACTCTTTGTATTGTATGTATTGTTATCAGTGGGTGGTTTGGTTTGTTTGTGCTGCGTTTTGTATTGTTAGTCTTAATAAATTATATTGTTTATACCATATCTGAAGCCTGCGTTTCCCTGTGTCAGTCCACACACCTCTGGTCATACCCGGAGCCCTGACATAAAGGATCCCAACTGCAATAATAATCAAGTGCTTGTGCTTTGAAGGTATAGTGAAAGTGCACACTCACCAGATGCGCATTGAATATGATCATATAAATATATCCAACACGGTCCACTTTAGGGAACGGGATATGCCAGGCATGTGGTAAAAACTCCTTCAGGGTGTTAAACAGCACAGCTGGGTGAGTGGTCAGTTCATCCAGGGGTCCCCTTTAACCAATTCAATATCAGTCAATTTTACACCTTCCTGCCCAGGCCAGTTTTCAGCGCTCTCACACTTTGAATGACAATTGCGCGGTCATACAACATTGTACCCAAACTAAAATTTTATCATTTTCTTCACACAACTAGAGCTTTCTTTTGGTGGTATTTAATCACCGCCGGGGGTTTTATTTTTTGCTAAATTAACAAAAAACAACCAAAAATTTTGAAAAAAAAAAAGTTTTTCTTTGTTTCTGTTATAAAAGTTTGCAAATAAATAATTGTTCTTCATAAATTTAGGCCGAGATGTATTCTGCTACATGTCTTTGGTGAAAATAACCCAAATTAGGATGTATTTTTTAGTTTGTAGGAAAGTTATAGAGTTCACAAACTATGGTATAGATCTGAATACTGATCAATCCTGAAGTACTGACAACCAATCTAATTTCTTGAGGTCCAAGAATGTCAGAATAGTACAGATATCCCCCAAATGTCAGGACAATACAGATATCCCCCAAATGTCAGAACAGTACAGATATCCCCCAAATGTCAGAACAGTACAGATATCCCCCAAATGTCAGGACAGTACAGATATTCCCCCAAATGTCAGCACAGTACAGATATCCCCCAAATGTCAGGACAGTACAGATATCCCCCAAATGTCAGGACAGTACAGATATCCCCCAAATGTCAGGAGAGGACAGATATCCCCCAAATGTCAGGACGGTACAGATATCCCCCAAATGTCAGGACAGTACAGATATCCCCCAAATGTCAGGACAGTACAGATATCCCCAAATGTCAGAACAGTACAGATATCCCCAAATGTCAGAACAGTACAGATATCCCCCAAATGTCAGGACAGGACAGATATCCCCAAATGTCAGAACTGTACAGATATCCCCCAAATGTCAGGACAGGACAGATATCCCCCAAATGTCAGGACAGGACAGATATCCCCAAATGTCAGGACAGTACAGATATCCCCCAAATGTCAGGACAGTACAAATATCCCCCAAATGTCAGGACGGTACAGATATCCCCCAAATGTCAGGACGGTACAGATATCCCCCAAATGTCAGGACAGTACAGATATCCCCCAAATGTCAGGACAGTACAGATATCCCTCAAATGACCCCTTTTTGCAAAGTAGACAGTCCGACGTACTTCATAAGAGGCATGGCGAGTTTTATAAAGTTGTATTTTTTTTGTCATAATTTTTCGGAAAATTTAAAAATTAAAAAAATTATTTTCACTATTTTTTTTTACATACTGTCACCAGTGCAGTACAGCGTCATCATATAACTGGCATGGTGGTGATCAGGGACACTGACTGGTGACAGTATGAAAAAAAAAAATATATATATATATTTATTTTTTTTATTATTTTTTATCAATTTTTTTTATTTTTCATATTTCACTATGACCAGAGTAGTACAATGTTACCATAGTAACATTGTACTACTTTGGGGAAGTGATCAGTATTTTTTTTTTTTTTTACACAATTTGCTTATAGCAAGGAATTACTGTGCTATAAGCAAGCATTTACCTAATTGAAATCGATTCATTCAGGTTTTTTTTTCTGGGTTTTTTTTTTGTGCTTAGCTGTGATTTGGCCACAGCTAATCACATGACATGTGCATGTGACCTGCTGTGACCATTCACAGCTAGGCACTAGTATACAATGGATGGCATGAATGAAGCCATCCATTGTATACAACTGTCATGTGACCTGCTGTGATTGGTCACAGCAGGTCACATGGTACCGGCAACAGGGCCAATACTCAGATCTGTCATCGGCCGTGTCCGAGGTACACGGCCGGTGACAGATTGTGCCGCTGCACCGCTCTGCAGGAGCGCAATCTGCGCATGTGCGGGAGGACGCCATACTGAACGACATATCAGTCTGGATGTCACTCCACTTCCTCAAATTGAACCTTTCCAAAACTGAGCTTCTAGTTTTCCCCCCAGCCCGCGCCCCCCCCCCCCATTCTCTCCATCGCGACCAATAACTCCACCATCAGTCCCACCCCGCAAGCCAAAGTCCTAGGTGTCACTCTAGACTCCAATCTGTCCTTCCAACCCCATGTCCAATCGCTGACAAATTCATGCAGGCTCCACCTCCGCAACATCTCCAAAATACGTTCGTTCCTAACCCCAGACACTACTAAACTACTCGTTCACTCCCTTATTATCTCACGTCTTGACTACTGCAACTCCCTCCTCACCGGCTTACCTCATCACAGGCTATCCCCGCTTCAGTCTATCCTGAACTCAGCGGCCAGACTCATCCACCTCACCAACCACTCCGTATCTGCCACCCCCCTCTGTCAATCCCTCCACTGGCCTCCACTGAGTGTCCTCCACCCCCCTCTGTCATTCCCTCCACTGGTCCCCATTCACTGTCCTCCACCCCCCTCTGCCAATCCCTCCACTGGCTTCCGATTGCCCAACGCATACAATTCAAACTACTAACATTGACGTACAAAGCTATCCATAACGCCGCCCCAAACTACCTCACCGACTTGATATCCAAATACCACCCAACACGTACTCTTCGCTCCTCACAAGACCCTCCTACTCTCTAGCTCCCTAGTCTCCTCCTCCCATGCCCGCCTCCAGGACTTCTCTGGGACTTCCCCCATCCTCTGGAACTCACTACCCCAATCCATCAGACTGTCACCTACGCTCCTCATCTTTAGGCACACCCAACTCAGAGTGGACCTTTCAGTAACACTACAAGCCTGGAGAAATAAATTCCTGACATGTCACAATATTTGGCAACTGTGCAATTATTTATTTATTTGTTGTTTGTTTGTTTATTTTATTATTTATTTAAATCACAATTTTTGCCCCTGCTCTGCCTGCTATGCATTTTGGGGAACCTTTGGAGGAGTCTGTGCTAATAAAAGAAGCTGGCAATGAAATGTCATTTGCAGAGCTGTGGATAAGGGGGTACCACCAGCCCTCCTGTAAGGGGCCCAGGCCAGCAGGGGGTCCCAGGCAGCTGGGTGAATCGGATGTGGGCAGGGAGAGTGATTGGCACGGTGGGGGGGTTAAAATCACTGGATCTGATCCCCTGTATGTCTCTCTCTGCAGCATCTGAAAGCCGGCTTCTTCTCCTCTCCATCACACTGGTTTTCAGCTGTCACAGAGAGAGCCATACATGGGAACAGTTCCAGTAATTGCCCCTGCTCCCATCACCCTCCCTGTGCACCATACATTCTCCCCTGCTGCCCCCACCCCTGTGTGCCCCCACCCCAGCAGTGCTGCCGGCTTCCTTCCTCTCCTTCCCACCAGCAGCTGCAAGCACACAATAGGATCCTTCAGGATGAAGAGTGGGGGAAGGGGAAGGTAAACATGTCACATTTACCACCCCCTTTCTTTTCTGAATGAACACAATAAATGATTGGCACCAATCACTCACTGTGTTTATTCATAGTTGAAGCATATTAAATGTGGGGGGGGGGGGTTTGGGGGGGACGGGACTGTAAGATTGGCTGTATGGGGCTCCACGGTTTCTAACAGCAGCCCTGGTCATTTGTAACCCGAAACAGATCTTGGAGTGCCCCTCTAAGCAGGAAGAAAAGATTCTTTCCCTTTGGTCTTCAGGAGAAAGAGGTGCCGGCGTCATGACAAGCTCATCCGAAAGTGTCAAGCATATAGGTGGAAAGGACAATGCTCCTGTATGACTAAGCCCCAGTGGGCGTGGTGGAATGCATCAGGGGGTGTGGTTTGCAGATACGTGACGGCTGAGGCCACTTTTTATCCTCACTTTAAATGGGCTTTTTGGGGGATCGGCACCCTTTTCACCTTAATAATATGTAAATTGCTGCCAATTTTCAGTAAATGTCACTTTTCCTCTAGCACACCCTACAATAAGTATGCAAAGAAATGTGCATAGATTACACCCCCAAAATGCTCACCAGACCATTTGTGTCTGGTGTGGATTTTAAGGAGATCCCAATGCACAAAAAAAATAAAAGTGTGAGGTCTCATTCTGGACCCTTAAAGAGAACATGCAGGAAAGATCCCACAAAAATGTCCCCTGTTGTAAATCCATTGTCACAGCTATCCCCACCCCTTTGTCTATGTGGCCTGGGATTCCCAGCCATGTACGCCAATGTGGCGGTGATGTTGGCAGTTGCTAGGGACGCAGTGGGTGCCCCCTGTTGTAAATCCATTGTCAAGCACAGTTCCTGATGCCTCCCCAAAAATTAAACCCAATAGACTTGGCACTTGATCCTGACTGCACCCCTGCCTAATGAGAGCTCCCCAGACTGACGTCAGCTATATAAGGGAAGGGACGGGGGTTGTAGTGACATCATTTACCATGTCCATATATGATCAATGGCATTGCCCACATGGCAGGTGACCATATTTGGGCAGTGATGTCACTGCTATCCCCACCCCTTTGTCTATGTGGCTTGGGATTCCCAGCCATGTAAGCCAATGTGGCGGTGATGTTGGCAGTTGCTAGGGACGCAGTGGGTGCCCCCTGTTGTAAATCCATTGTCAAGCACGGTTCCTGATGCTTCCCCAAAAATTAAAACCCAATAGACTTGGCACTTGATCCTGACTGCACCCCTGCCTAATGAGAGCTCCCCAGACTGACGTCAGCTATATAAGGGAAGGGACGGGGGTTGTAGTGACATCATTTACCATGTCCATATATGATCAATGGCATTGCCCACATGGCAGGTGACCATATTTGGGCAGTGATGTCACTGCTATCCCCACCCCTTTGTCTATGTGGCTTGGGATTCCCAGCCATGTAAGCCAATGTGGCGGTGATGTTGGCAGTTGCTAGGGACGCAGTGGGTGCCCCCTGTTGTAAATCCATTGTCAAGCATGGTTCCTGATGCTTCCCCAAAAATTAAAACCCAATAGACTTGGCACACACGACTGATCCTGACTGTACTCCTGCCTAATGAGAGCTCCCCAGACTGATGTCAGCTATATAAGGGAAGGGACGGGGGTTGTAGTGACATCATTTACCATGTCCATATATGATCAATGGCATTGCCCACATGGCAGGTGACCATATTTGGGCAGTGATGTCACTGCTATCCCCACCCCTTTGTCTAGGTGGCTTGGGATTCCCAGCCATGTAAGCCAACGTGGCGGTGATGATAGCAGTTGCTAGGGACGCAGTGGGTGCCAGCACTATTGGCTTCCATAGGAACCAATGACAGCAGGAAACCATCATGTATAGAAGCGGCAGAAATACCACTTCTATATTTGATGCTCGGTTTTCACCAAAAACAGGGATCTGGGTAGGCAAAAGTTCAGACTGAACCGTTGGCTCATCCCTAGTCCCTGTTTCACATTTATGGACCAATTCAGACAGGAACCAACGCCGGCACTTTTGTGGAGTTTATGTGGAAAACCGGAGAACCTGCAGAAATCCCTCATGAGCATCAGGAGAATATGCAAGTCTATGGCTATAGTGTCCTGGCCAGGAGTGAAACCAAGGACCCCAGTGGTGCATGGCACAAGGGCTACCCACTAACATATATGAGCTGATATGTCATAATATTCTCACCACTGACAAATAAAAATTAAAAACATTGATTATCTCGTCACAATGGCACCTGAAAGTGGGTGGGATATTTTAAGCAAAAAGACAGGAAACGCAGGAAGCGCCACCACCTAAGTGTAGTATATATAAAATTCCAAGGAGAAATGTAAATTAAGAATTGCACTCACATTTATTAAAAGGATAAAAGTATATATAAACACACATCCACTGGAGGACTGCAGAGCTCGGCAGGATCACGGCTGGGTCAAAGTTCGATGCCACCTGGATAGGCGTGTGGATCGTGCTGTAATGGTGCTGATAGTGTCCAAAGATCTGAATGGGATAAATGGGATGAGCCGGGATGAGCCGCGCCTCACATTGGCGGGTGATGAGGGGTAAGCTGTCAGCAGAGCTAAGGCAGACCAGAGATGCAGAGGAGTGACGGTGAATGATGTGGGGAGCGTGGGGGACATGGTTACGCATTTCGAGGAAACAAGGAACGCCCCTTTATCAAACCATGTGATGGGATTAGGCGGAGTAGTACTTTTAGGAAGAAAAGCGCTCTGACCAATCCCATGATATGGTTTGATAAAGGGCATTGCAAAGCAGAAGACATGGGTCACTGCTGGCAGGGCAGAGATCAGGGGTCACAGCTGGCAGGGCAGAGATCAGGGGTCACAGCTGGCAGGGCAGAGATCAGGGGTCACAGCTGGCAGGGCAGAGATCAGGGGTCACTGTTGGCAGGGCGCAGGACAGGGGTCACAACTGGCAGGGCACAGGACAGGGGTCACAGCTGGCAGGGCACAGGATCAGGGGTCACAGCTGGCAGGGCAGAGATCAGGGGTCACAGAGGGCAGGATCAGGGGTCACTGTTGGCAGGGCGCAGGACAGGGGTCACTGCTGGCAGGGCAGAGGACAGGGGTCACAGCTGGCAGGGCAGAGGACAGGGGTCACAGTTGGCAGGGCACAGGACAGGGGTCACAGCTGGCAGGGCAGAGATCAGGGGTCACAGCTGGCAGGGCAGAAATCAGGGGTCACTGTTGGCAGGGCGCAGGACAGGGGTCACTGCTGGCAGGGCAGAGGACAGGGGTCACAGCTGGCAGGGCAGAGGACAGGGGTCACAGTTGGCAGGGCACAGGACAGGGGTCACAGCTGGCAGGGCAGAGATCAGGGGTCACAGCTGGCAGGGCAGAGATCAGGGGTCACTGTTGGCAGGGCGCAGGACAGGGGTCACTGCTGGCAGGGCAGAGATCAGGGGTCACAGCTGGCAGGGCAGAGGACAGGGGTCACTGTTGGCAGGGCAGAGGACAGGGGTCACTGTTGGCAGGGCAGAGGACAGGGGTCACAGCTGGCAGGGCAGAGGACAGGGGTCACAGCTGGCAGGGCAGAGGACAGGGGTCACAGCTGGCAGGGCAGAGGACAGGGGTAACTGCTGGCAGGGCAGAGGACAGGGGTCACTGTTGGCAGGGCACAGGACAGGGGTCACTGCTGGCAGGGCAGAAGACAGGGGTCACCACTGGCAGGACAGAGGACAGGGGTCACTGTTGGCAGGGCACAGGACAGGGGTCATTGCCAACAGGGCAGAGGACAGGGGTCACTGCTGGCAGGGCAGAGGATAGGGGTCACTGGTAGCAGGGCAGAAGATAGGGGTCACTGCTGGTGGAGCAGAGGTCAGGGGCTACTGCTAGCAGGGCAGAGGACAGGGGCACAGCTCCTTCTCCCATCCCTGCATTGCACACAACCTGGGCACAGGCAGCAGAGTTCTTCCTCCCCACACAACATATAACTGAGATCAGTATGGTGTCAGGTTAGGGCGGCACAGTATCAGGTTAGGGTGGTATTGTGTCAATTTGGGGCGGCATAGTTGCAGGTTAGGGTAGTATAGGGGCAGGTTTTGGCAATATCATATTTGGCAGGTTAGGGTTGGCTTTGTGGGGGCACAACTAAAATCTGGGCGACATAACCTACCCCAGCACCCCCTATACCCGGCCATGGGAAGAGATGACACCAGGATGTAGTATGGGAAGAAGGCAAGCGGGTGAAGGCAGTATGGTTGATTTACTAAAAGTAGAGAGTGCAAAATCTGGTGCAGCTGTGCATGGGAGCCAATCAGCTTCTGACATCAGCTTGTTCAACTAATGCTGGCCATACACTATACAATTTTCTGTCCAATTTCCTTTAGATTTACCTTCAACTATGTAGTGCAAGGACATGCCTAATTGGATACAATTGAAAGTGTTTAGGTTTGCCCTCCTATGATATGGTTTTTGATAAATCTAAACCAAAATTCTTGAGAAAATTGTATAATGTATGGCCAGCCTAAGCTTTGACAAAATTATTATTAGTATTATTATACAGTATTTATATACAGTTGCAAGAAAAAGTATGTGAACCCCTTGGGATTACGTGGAGTTTTGCATGAATTGGGCATAAAATGTGCTCTGAACGTCATCTAAGTCACAACAATAGAAGAACACAGTCTGCTGAACATAATACTACACAAACATTAGACGTTGCCATGGTTTAATTGCACATAACATGTAAACATTCACAGTGCAGGGAGGAAAAAGTATGTGAACCTTTGGACTTAATAACTGGTTGACCCTCCTTTGGCAGCAATAACCTCAACCAAACATTTCCTGTAGTTGTAGATCAGACCTGCACAACGATCTGGAGTAATTTTGGACCACTCCTCTTCACAAAACTGTTTCAGTGTAGCAATATTCTTGGGATGTCTGGTGTGAATCGCACTCTTAAGGTCATGCCACAGCATTTCAATCAGGTTGAGGTCAGGACTCTGACTGGGACACTCCAGAAGGCGTATTCTGTGCTGTTGCAGCCATTGTTTTGTTGAATTACTTGTATGCTTTGGGTCATTGTCCTGTTGCATCACCCATCCTCTGCGGAGCTTCAGTTGGCGGACAGATGGTCGTACGTTTTCCTGCAAAATGTCTTGATAAACTCTGGAATTCATTTTCCCATCAATAACAACAATCCGTCCAGGCCCTGAGGCAGCAAAGCAGCCCCAAACCATGATGCTCCCTCCGCCATGTTTCACAGTGGGGATGAGGTTTTGATGTTGGGGTGCTGTGCCTTTTTTTCTCCACACATAGTGTTGTGTGTTCTTCCCAAACAACTCAATCTTGGTTTCATCTGTCCACAGTATATTTTGCCAGTAGTGCTGTGGAACATCCAGGTGCTCTTTTGCAAACTTCAAACATGCTGCAATCTTCTTTTTGGACAGCAATGGCTTCCTCCGTGGTGTCCTCCCATGTACTCCATTCTTGTTTAATGTTTTCCTTATTGTAGATGTGTCAACAAAAATGTTAGCATGTGCCAGAGATTTCTGTAGGTCTTTAGCTGACACTCTGGGATTCTTCTTTACCTCATGCAGCATTCTGCGCTGTGCTCTTGCAGTCATTTTTACAGGACGACCACGCCTAGGGAGAGTAGCAACAGTGCTAAACTTTCTCCATTTGTAGACAGTCTGTCTTACCGTGGACACATGAACATCAAGGCTTTTGGAGATACTTTTGTAACCCTTTCCAGCTTCATGCAAGTCAACAATTCTTGATCGTAGGTCTTCTGAGAGCTCTTTTCTGCGTGGCATGGTTCACATCAGACAATGCTTCTTGAAACCAGTAAACCCAAAACAGGTGTGTGTTTTTTAAGGGCAGGACAGCTGTCAGCAACACATCCAATATCATCACACTGATTGGAGTCAAGGTTGGCTCACTCCTGGCTCCAATTAGCTCTGGGAGAAGTCATTAAGCTAGGGCCTCACATACTTTTTCCTCCCTGCACTGTGATTGTTTACATGTTATGTGCAATTAAACCATGGCAACATCTAATGTTTGTGTAGTATTATGTTCAGCAGACTGTGTTCTTCTATTGTTGTGACTTAGATGACGTTCAGAGCACATTTTATGCCCAATTCATGCAAAACTCCACGTAATCCCAAGGGGTTCACATACTTTTTCTTGCAACTGTAGCACCAAAGGGTATGCTCAGCGCTGTACAGTAGCAGGGGGGACAGAACATGAGACAAGACAGTAACAATACACAAGAGGTTCGAGGGCCCTGCTCTTTCGAGCTTACAATCTAGGAGGCAGGGGAAGGTGGTACAGGAGGAGATGGCTGTGGGGGATGGAGTAGCGGGAGGAGTGGAGGAGGTTAGTTGTTAGGTGAGGTCGGGTGTTAGGTGAGGGCGGGGTAGGCTTCCCTGAAGAGGAGGGTTTTCAGGGTGCGCCTGAAGGTGAGGAGGGTAGGTGACAGTCTGATGGATTGGGGTAGGGAGTTCCAGAGGATGGGGGAAGTCCTAGAGAAGTCCTGCAATCGGGCGTGGGAGGAGGAGACCAGGGAGCTAGAGAGTAGGAGGTCCTGTGAGGAGCGGAGGGCACGGGTAGGGTGGTATCTGGGTATCAGGTTAGGAAGCTGATTGTTTTCTGTGCACAGCTGCACCAGATTTTGCACCCTCCAGTTTTAGTAAATCAGCCCCAGTGCAGGGGCGGACTGACAACTCATGGGGCCCCCGGGCAATAGGGGATCATGGGGCCCCTGTGTCCTTGCCCACACTCAAAAAAGCCTATGAAAAAGGTACCAGGGGCATCTCATGGGGCCCCCTACTGACCCCGGGCCCTCAGGCAGTCCGCCCCTGCCCCAGTGTGATGCTCTGTCTAGTGGAGTCCATACCTTGATGGCTCAGGGCTGTTTTGAGGTCTTTTTTACCATGAGATGATCCTGAAGTGACATTCATATAATTTACTGGAAATCAGGGGCGGACTGACCATTTGGAAACTCGGGCACTGCCCGAGGGCCCGGGGTCAGTAGGGGGCCCCATGAGATGCCCCTGGTACCTTTTTCATAGGCTTTTTTGAGTTTGGGCAAGGACACAGGGGCCCCATGATCCCCTATTGCCCGGGGGCCCCATGAGTTGTCAGTCCGCCCCCTGCTGGAAATGCATTCAGTTCTCTATAAAAAGCTGGATGCATTTATTGTATACAACAGAATTTTCACTCTGACAACCAATCAAAGAGCTTTTATTTGTCCTTCTGTCTTTATCCACCAAGAAAAAGTGTTAAATACAAAAGAAGCCACTCCCACAACTCCTTATCATTTAATAACAATTATAATTATATTTATTGTTATATCAAAATGATTTAATATATCTGTCCATCCATATCCTGAGAAAAAAAAAAAAGAAAGCTACATTTAATAAAAGTAATATCCTGTTAAAAAAAAAAAAAACAGAAGACAATTATTTAATCAGAAGTCTTTTATCAGATGTAACCTCGGCGGTGATCAAGGCGGTTTCCTCCAAACAGAAGATACTTTCAGTTTTCCCAACACAATGCCGGCGTAATTCTAATTATTAGAAACATCAATTATTCACAGGTCTGCAGGAAAGGTCATCCTGAATACTTCTGAGCAAAAAAAAAAAAAAAAAAAATCATCAAACGAGCTTTAATCAAGGATCATAATATCATCCGAGCTGTTCTGAGCACGGCAACGCCATTTTGTTCACCCTTCTGCGATAATACGATCATTTTTTTTTTTCATATCACAAATTACAATATAAAACAAGGAGTTTACCAAAAAATTATAGGATGGAATTTATTGAAGACGCCTCGATTTCAATATTTGATGAAGTTACAGACAGTATATACTGCCAGAGATTTAAAATATTGTAAGATAAATAACATTAGTGAAAAAAAAAGAATTAAAAAAAGATACAATGTTAGAATTAAAAAAAAAATACAATTTTAGAATTAAAAAAAAATACAATTTTAGTTTAAAAAAAAATACAAATTTAGAATTAGAAAAAAATACAATGTTAGAATTTAAAAAAATATGTATTTTTTTTTTAATTCTAACATTGTATTTTTTTTTTTATTATTTTTTTTTCACTAATGTTATTTGTATTTTTGTTCACCCTTCTGCGATAATACGATCATTTTTTTTTTCATATCACAAATTACAATATGGGAGTTTACCAAAAAATTATAGGATGGAATTTATTGAAGACGCCTCGGGGGAATTTGATGAAGTTACAGACAGTATATGCTGCCAGAGATTTAAAATATTGTAAGATAAATAACATTAGTGATAAAAAGGAATTTAAAACAAAAATACAATTTTAGAATTAAAAAAAAATACAAAGTTAGAATTAAAAAAAAATGTATTTTTGGAAGGGGGGGAAAGTGTCCGGACTGGAAGGGGGGGAAAGTGTCCGGACTGGAAGGGGGGGAAAGTGTCCAGACTGGAAGGGGGGAAAGTGTCCGGACTGGAAGGGGGGGGGGAAAGTGTCCGGACAGGAAGGGGGGGAGTGTCCGGACAGGAAGGGGGTGAAAGTGTCCAGGACAGGAAGGGGGGGAAAGTGTCCGGACTGGAAGAGGGTGAAAGTGTCCGGACTGGAAGGGGGGGAAGTGTCCGGACTGGAAGGGGGGGAAAGTGTCCGGACTGGAAGGGGGTGAAAGTGTCCGGACTGGAAGAGGGTGAAAGTGTCCGGACTGGAAGGGGGGGAAGTGTCCAGACTGGAAGGGGGGGAAAGTGTCCGGACTGGAAGGGGGTGAAAGTGTCCGGACTGGAAGAGGGTGAAAGTGTCCGAACTGGAAGGGGGTGAAAGTATCCGGACTGGAAGGGGGTGAAAGTGTCCGGACTGGAAGGGGGTGAAAGTGTCCTTACTGGAAGGGGGTGAAAGTGCCCTTAA